TATATATATATATACACACACACATATATAAACTAAAGTAAATAATAAAAAAATAAAGAAATCATTAAAATAAAATATAAATTTAAGCTAATAATAAAAATGAATAAATAAATGAAATCTTGAAGTGTTGCCCTGGAAACTACCTGGAATAAAATAAGTTGAGTATATAAGTTCTAAAATGACTAAAGGTACAAGATAAATAAATATAAATCTAAATAGAAAATGAGAAGTGTAATAAAAAATGACAAAATGTCAAAAATGATATTAGAAATAAATATAATTTAAGAAAATAAATAATGAAATAAATATGAAGTAGATGTTGCTCTGGTAACTACCTGAAATAAAGTTTGAAGTTCTAAAATGACTAAAACTACAGCTGTAAAATAAATATAAATTAAAGCTAAGTAGAAATATTTTTGTTTAACTTAGATGGAAATGAGAAACTGCTTCATATAGAAAGAATGAAGTACTAAAATTACAACTAAAATAAATAAATCTAAAAAAAAATGTAAACTAAATAGTAATAATACAAATGATAAAACAAAATTACTAAAACATAAAAACACAAAACTTTAAACTAAAATTGAAATAAAAACTGAAAATATAAAAATAAAAGCTCATTCAAACATTACACAAAAATAACAATGCTCTCAGAGGTTTGATTGGGAAACTTGATGCTTGTTCACAATGTGATGTTATGAGCACAAGTTAAATGCTGTGTGTGTGTGTGTGTGTGTGTAGATGACGGGCCGCAAGGGACGTGTAGTGCGGCGTCCTGATGGCAGTGTTCGATACGAGACCAGAGCAGAACAGGGCCTGACCATCGACCACGTCAACGTCAAAGAGAAAGAGCGCTTCATGACCGGAGAGAAGGTGATGACCTCTGACCTACAAACACAGAACACCACCTCCAGATCAAACCCAGCGCCATTCTGAATGTTTGCACTAATTCTCTTTCTCTTTCCCTCTCAGCTGATAGCCATCATCTCTGAAGCGGCCAGTTCGGGCATCTCTCTACAGGCGGATAAACGTGTGCAGAACCGCAGGAGACGAGTTCACATGACCTTAGAGCTGCCGTGGAGCGCAGACCGCGCCATCCAGCAGTTCGGTGAGTGTCTGTGCTTGTTTGCGTGTGTTTGAGAGGCATCTTGGGGGTTGCTAATATTGTGGCTGTGTATCTTATCAGGTCGAACTCATCGCTCAAATCAGGTTACGGCTCCAGAGTATATCTTCCTCATCTCTGAGCTGGCTGGAGAGAGACGCTTCGCCTCGATTGTTGCCAAGAGATTGGAGAGCCTGGTAAAGTCTTGCTGCAGTCTGTTTTTCAGATGTTATGTACACAAGCACATGTGCATTGCACACAATAATACACAGGGCTCTAGACATTCTTCCCACTGGTCACTCTTTTGTGACTAACTTTCTCAGTCGCACGAGCACATCATTTGGTCGCAATTTTTATTTATTTTTATTTTCTTTTGCTACAACATGGGATTAATCAATGCATGCTTATGAACTTTTATTATAGTTTATAGTTATATGGTGTAACGAGTGTTCAACATTCAACCCGTTCTTTTTCATCAGTATTA